AAGCAAGGAAGTTAAAGAACTGCAGAAGTGTGTGTATATATGTATTTATGTAGGTGTATATGCATATATTTAAATCTCCTGATTTTGAAAGATGGAGGTTAGAAGCATTGTGTCACTGTGCTCCTCCAACATTAGGGTTCTGTTCTAGTTAATCACAAACTTTCAGAATTGATCCATTAGTGTTGTAGCACTTGAGTAATTTTAGTTTTGCAAGTACGGAATCAATTATATGGAAAGACATGGCTGTAGTGCTCAGAGGAGAGACCATTTAACACTACATCTTGCTGTATTTATTTTATGATTCTTTGGATAGATATGCTAAAATACGTCTAAACCACAGAGAGTGTGTTGGGTGATGGGGCATTTCTGAGCTCAGTTAAATAATAAGATGTATTTTATTCAAATCGGAATAACATTAAGCCCTGAATACTAAACAGGGCAGCAAAAAGCCTTCAGCACACAAAATAAACAAGTAAAAAACCCAAATGAAACTGTCTAATAAATACAATGTGGAGCAACAGGCTGCATGTACTAGAGGAATTAAGCCAATTTAAACCGTATGGGCAGTACTCCACTTTCAGATGTGCTCGGCGTCCAACAGTTTCAATGGCAGTTGGATGCATGCATCAAAGGGCAAAGTCTGGCTCAGAGCACCCGCGTGGATTTGATAGCATAGGTTTATGACCTTGTAATCCTAGAGCATCTAAACCAATAAGAACTCTATCCAGCTTAAAATAGCTGCTGTAGTTGCTGTTGATACAAGCTTGTGGGCTCCCCAGCTCTGGGGCCAAATTTGGTGCTGGCATGATAGGAGGAAGTCTGTTGACAGCTGATAGCAGTGGAGTTGCACTTGATTACATCATAACAAATTTGGCATGTGGAGCTGAATCAGAAGTCTGAGCAGAAGTGTCCATTCCTTTTCCAGAGTTAAAACTGGGCCTTTCACATTGCCAATCCACAGGGATTTGTCTGGGCCATGTGTAACTGTTGCTTTTAAGGGTCTTGCTTTAAAAGTGCGTTCAACTCTCAGTTCCACTCAGCATGGTGACTGTAAAAAAAACATGAAAGACTGGATTTTCCTCTCATGTCCAGAAGGATAAAGTCCCTAATCATGCCAATATAAGCATGACGAGAACAAGCCCCATGGTAGCTGACGCACTAGGCTGTATCTGGGCCGCAGCAGAGGGTGAGAACAGAAAGGTGCGCTTAACTCTAATTGCTGGGGTCGTCCAGTGGCCGAGCGTGCCCAATGTCAAGCAGACAACCCTGTGGATACTGTCCTTCAGAGGAGCTGCCTCAGGTCCTAGTGTGCTGGTCTGGCTCCTGGCAACTGGTGTGGTATAGATGAACTGCTGCAGCTGTGTCCCCTCCTCCCTTCCTGGGTTTTACACTGTAAGACTCAGTGTGGAGGTCTTACTGATGCTCCAAGTCATTCCTCAAAGTATTTTAAGAAATTAGATTATTTTATTTTAATTTCAGCTGCTGCAAAAATTGTCCCAAACCCGTGTGCTTTGTTTTTATTAAAATACTAAATTGCTGAAGTGATTTTCATGAAAATTAATTAAAACAAATTAATGAAAAGCAGCTGAAAAATGGATTCGTCTGCTGAAATTGTGGTATGCAAACTCTTAACCTCAGTCACATTTTGGTGGTTCCTCTATAAACACCTAAGTGTACAATAGTGGTTTGTCATGGAACTTTTTTGATGGAAATTCTTGGAAAGTGAGGCTATACTGCATAATACATTTTCTCTCCCTTTACGTACATCTTCATATAATGCATGTGTTCTTACCTGCTCCTTTTAGTAGTATTATTAATCTGTAGTTAAATCTTATCTCTTCAGTATTGGGAAAGAAATGAAAAAGATGCTATCAGGCTCAGGGGTTTCTCCATCATGTTTTCTGCTTGTAGGGGACAGGAGGGCAGGAGGAGTCTTTATTTCGGGAATAATACCAACCTTGGGCATGTGTTGCGCACTGCAGAATGCAGTGGCTGAGGAGGACCTGTCCTCTCTGGCAAACTGGATCCATTTAGGATCTTTGGATCATCTGGAGGTGTGTTGGGTAGCTTCTGCATGTGGCTTGGGCAGGTGTGAGAAATGTATGTGATTCGGTTGAGCTGCTTGGGGGAACAAGACCACTGCTTCTGTATATCTGCATACAGCAAAGCAGGACTTAGCTCTTGCTGTACAATAAATACAACACTTGCAATGCATTCTAGAACAGATCAATCTATTAGTTTCTCATCTATATTTATTATTATTTTATTTGTATTTTATGTTCCCTTTCCATGCAAAGATACACCATTTTTTTTGTTTGCTTTCTCTTATTTTCAGAAAGTCTGGTAATGTGATGAAGGTCATGTTATTAAAAGTAGAATGTAATAGTTGTGCACATTGGAGGGCAAAAATGGGGAGGTTCAGTGGGCCTTGTAGAGAAGGCTTTACAAAATGATCAGCCTTGAAAGGTCCACTCTCTCTCTGTGGAGAAGTGTCAACGAGCTCTGCCAGTGGGTCGCTCCGGGGATAGAGGAGCCAAAAGCTTTCCTCACTGTCCTTCACTAGGAAAATGAGCTGACTGCTTCCTCCAGCATGTCTGGCCCAAGCAGAGCATCCAGCCCTTCAGGATAGGACAGCTCAGTGGAGCCGGTTGGATTTTATTTTCTATGCTCCCTCTTGGGATTGATGTGAAAAAAACGTTTTCTGCCTAGGAACCTTTGTGCGGAAGTCCTCCATGAACTAAACAGTTCAGAACACAAAGACCTCCACATGGAAGTTTTCTATCCACTGACATTTTTATGCCCATAACCATTTTGAACCAAAATGAAAAAAAAAAAAAAAAAAAAAAAAAAAAAAAAAAAAATCAAAGAGGTTAATAAAACCAACAATGATTTTCTCTAAGGAGTGCTAGCAGTTAAAAAAATGCCATTAAGTGTAAACAGTTCCTGAGATTGTACATGCTAGACCGAATTCATCCTTGCTATAACTCCTCAGAACTCAATGGAGTTACATGAGGGATTAATTTGGTCCATTGCTCTCAGCCATCAGTTTTAGAGGATATACAACAATCCAGGGAACTATTATTGTCAACATTATTTTATGACTCTTTAGAGCTGCTCAGTATTTGTATTTTACAAATATACTATCAGGGTGTGTGTATGGAGTGAAGTTAGTGTTTCAGTATTGAAGGTAGTGGATTTTTCAAAGTTATTTTTGTACAATTAAAAGTAATAAGTCATTATTGCTATGAATCTTACATAAATGCCTGAATACAGCTACAGACTCTTGAAATGTGCACAGACATTTCATCTGGTAGAGCACAAAACATTTCACAAAGCATAGAAAATATCTGGGAAGTTTTAAGTACTGTTATCACGCCAGCTGACGAATTATCACAGTGTTCATGTGAAACTTAGCTGTACTTACTGCACACAGGAAGTTAAGGCAGAGACGTAAAACCGTTTTCCAAAAGCTAACTTACGAGGCAGTCACTGGGCCTGGAACAAAACACAAGATCTCTACTGTCACTTTCTACTTTTCTGTTTTCTCCGAACCTAAATTGTTTCTGTAAGTTCCAAGATAAACTGAAGAAAGCTTCAGGTAGCAAATCTGAAATGTTAGATGGCGAATGTGCATCTGCATGTAAATCATGTATTTTAGTTCATGTCAGAAGGTGTATACAGCTACTTGAATGTTCAGGACACATGTAGGATGGTTGAATTAAGTTCTTTAACTTTAAACTGGAACATTTGTGCTAACAACCAGTTCTGTTGAAGGTCTGTACACTGGAAAGTGAGTGGTCAATACAACATTACTTACTTCTCATTCATAAGACAGTGAGCCTCATTCCTGGTTTGGTAAATCAGGTTTGCACCGATTTCTTGGTTACAAAGCAAGGTACAAACTTGTCTGATGACCAAAATGGGTGTCCTCCCTGCACAGTGCTATGTGTTCTTCCATAGCAGTAGGATTAGTGTATTGGCTCGTTTGTATTTATTCTCTTCTGTTATGGAGGCATGTTTGGGCAGTGAAGGAAGGGTTTTGTCTTTGTAAACTGTTAAAGTTTGGGTCACCCAGAGGCATGAATGAAGTTGCTCTGAACTATACCAGGTACAGAACCTGTGCAGTACAGCACTAGTGGCAGGACTGCTTTTACGCTTCTTCTCTGGATCTCCCTGTTCCTATGTTCTCAGAGCATGTATTAATACAAGAACATTGATTTTTGCAGCATTAGGGGACTTTGGCTGAGTAAGAACTTGTCCATGTTCCCTGACAACTGTGGTCATGTCCAAACTATGGGATTTGGGATTACTTCCTCATTCCTCTGTCCAAGTTCTTTCTCAACCTGTCTGGACTCCACGCTAAGGCAGTACTTTTGAGGGTTCATCATCTTACGCCTGTGTCCTGCTGCCATGGTTTCTGCTAAGGAAAGGCCAAGAACACGGGCCAGGAGCCTCCCCCAGTCTGCTCCAGCTGGTCTCTGACCTGAACAATGGAGGGAGCTGTGTGCCACGACTGCACCTTCAGTCCTGAATAGTTTATCAGTCTGGTAGCTCCTGCGTGGATATATAGCCAGACCCAGCTCTTCTCAAGTAGCTAAACTTGAAGCATCTCCAGAGCAAGGGTGACATAGCTGAAAGCAATAATCATTTCCCTTAACTAAAATGATTCATTAGTGTTAAAATGTCAGGACCATTAAAATGCAAGTGAGCCTTTTAAAATTTGAGGAAAATGGGCCTTATCCTGGAAAAGATTTGAGGAAATTGCATTGATTCCAGTACCATTATCCATGAAAAATCTACTCGTACAAGTAAAGGTTTGTTGGCTGGGCCTCCCACTTTTGTTAGCTATATTTTATTGCTGTCATTACACCTAGAGGCTTATCTGATAATTTCTTTATAAGAACATGACTCTAAGACAATTAATGCTACTTTTAGCAAGAGTGAAATAGTAAGTAAAATTGAACTGAAATTTGACCAAACTCTTCTTTTTTATTTCCTAGTATCTGAATTACAGGAAGAAGGAATAAATGCCATTAACTTACCTCTCAGTCCAATTCCATTCGAACTAGACCCTGAGGACACTATGCTAGGTAATTCACAACAATTTTACATCTCAACATAAGAGCTTGATGTAAAATAAAGTTCCATGCCTGTAATAGTTTCTAATATCTTTCTTTTAAACCTTCTAGAGGAAAATGAAGTCCGAACAATGGTTGATCCAAATTCAAGAAATGACCCAAAATTACAAGAACTAATGAAGGTAATGAAAAGCATGTAAACACTTTCAGGAAAGTGAAACTATTTTTTAATGCTATCCCAGCCTCTTTCATTTGAACACTTCAAAGCACTGTTTAGATATTAATTAAATGAAACCACATGGTGTGTACATCCCAGTGAAATGGGCAGGTCATTTGTTGCAGTATCTTTCTCTACATACGGCACAGTGAGAATTAAGAATTTGGATTAAAATCCTGAGTCCAGATTCTTAGTCCCATCCCACCCCCAATCTAAGATCACAGCGACTTCCCTTGTAGTCTTTGTGATTCTTGGGGTTAGAACTTTAGCAGAAAGCTTCATTAGAATGGACTTCAACGCTTTTGCTTCACAATAAAATGTTAAAATACTACTGAAAGCAAAGGATGGATTTCACTCCAGAAGGCACTGCATCAGTCCCGTATTTGTCTAGACATCATGGTGCATTGACACAGCCACCTTAGAAGAGTCCTTTGTAAGTCCTTGCTGTTTTCTTCTGATGGCATTTCAGACTGATTTGTATTTTGAGCCATTGCAGCTTTGGTATTCTTTCTGCTAAATAGTTTCATCATTGTACAAAATGACATGTGTTTTAAATTGCAAATGAATAGTGTATAATACTGCCAAATTTGTGTTTCCCATATAGGTATTAATTGACTGGATTAATGATGTGTTAGTAGGAGAGAGGATTATTGTGAAAGACTTGGCTGAAGACCTGTATGATGGACAAGTACTGCAGAAATTATTTGGTAAGAAAAAATATATGTGCATGCTGTTGGGGCACTTTGTCAGTAAGTGGATCACTTGTTCCTACTTAGGAGCCTTGGTATCATCTTACATTTATGCCACTAAGTGATATAAAAATAGCATTGTATTATGAGACCCTTGAGCAGTAGGCTGTATGCACAATCCTTATAGCTACAGTGCAATGTGTGGTGCTCTGTAGTTGATGAGAACAGCATAAAGCCTACCTGGGGTGCTAGAGAGGGAGGGTTCTTGTCTTGGCAACAGTATTCGCTCCAGTTAAATTTATTATCTGCATATGTGCTGTACAAACTTAACCGTGTTACAAGTAGAAAGTAAGTTTGAAGGCAAGGGTATTTTCAGTACAATGGTGGATGTTTTTAATCTCTGCTGGTTCCATACTATAGTTTATTCACATCGCGAAGTTTCTCTGGAAAGTTGGAATTTCTTTCTGATTTGATGTTTGGCTTTTAATGTTACTGAGGTAATGGTACCCAGTGGACTGCAAACTGAGCTTCAGCTGAGAAACAGATAGAGAAAAGAAACTGCTAATGCAGAGCTGGCGTGTGCTTTTTTAACTGTTGGCTTGGAAGTCATTTTCTTAGTTATTACAGCTCATAAAGTCTCCAGTAAATTTCTTTTCAGTATCTTAAATGAATCTCGAAACATTGTGTGAGCACTTCTAATAAAGACTACACAGACTATTCCCTTCTATGAATGGTTAAGCTATTGAATATATTGTGATGGACTGGGTATGCCCCAGACTGAGCAATTTGATTCTCGTGGGCAGACCTTCAGTGACTTCACCCAAAACCCCAAAAATGTGTATCAGATACAGCCTTATTCTAAATATGCGTATACTGATCCAGCACTTATTGATTTCAGTAGAATCTTTTCCATTACTCCTTGTGGATCAGGTCTATGCTAACTAAAGACTTTGGTCTTGTTGTGAGACTACATACAGACTGATTTCTGCGGAGGCACAAGAAACCCATGGAGATAGCAGTCTCTTAGGCAGGATTCGTAGGTTGGTAGCTCGGGCTCACTCTCTTTGGGAAGATACTCAGTTGGCTTTGATGAGAATAAGATCAACTCTTACCAAGCTTAACAAGATACTCTTTCATAGAAGTAAATTGATAGGCGACCAAGCATTTTGTTTCTGGTAGTGTTATCAGGGAGCTTTTATTGTTAAATTTTCTTTGCTTACTATTTAATGGTAAACACTAAGCCATGTATGTATATACCTAGCAATCTGTACTAATCATTAACAAACCAATTCATAAAGTATTTTAAAATCTACTGCAAATTTTGAGTGCAGAACATGGCAGTGGTTTCACAGAAAGAAATTGCCTGAGGTTTTAGTTGTTTTCATACCTCCAGAAATACTTGTTCACATTTCTTGGGTGCATCCCTCCACCTCTATAAATATGGTGTCACTTCACTTTTATCACAAATGGACCAAATAAAATTTTTAAATCTCCTGAGTCTGAGGGAGAAGCCAGGGAGCTGAGACTGATGAAACAAATAATTTTAAAGTTGGTATATCTGTTTCCTAGGTTTGATGGTCTGCTGTACAAGCCACTTGCATACAGAATACCCTTTATCCAGTACCAATAGAAGTAATGGGCCTTACCTCAGAGTCTGGTGTTCCCTAAAGGGAGTTGCAGCAAATATTTGTTAGCTAGTAGTGTGGCTTTCACTAATGCTTGGCCTTCCCCTTGGCAATAGGTAAATAAAGAGAAAAGGTGAACTGTATCTTTAGGAGTTCAGAAGTGTGGGGGAAAGTGGTTCTGGAGGGAAAAGCAGGTAATTTTAAAACTAGGAAGTCTAATATCTCTTGAATGTACGTCTGGGTGCGTGGTATGTCTTTATGTTCTTCGTGGAGTTGACAGTGTTTTTTCTTCTGTTTTTTCTTCTATTATCACTTCAGAGAAACTTGAAAGTGAGAAGCTGAATGTTGCTGAAGTTACTCAGTCTGAAATTGCTCAGAAACAGAAGCTACAGACAGTACTTGAAAAGATCAATGAAACCCTTAAACTCCCTCCAAGAAGCATTAAGTGGAACGTTGACTGTAAGTTGCGTGTTTTCTATGCTGTTCTCCTTTGTTGACAGCCGAGAGTTTATAGCTGCTATCTGGAATTCTGAAATATCCAACGATAAGGGAGGGCTGAAGCCTGGTATTTATGGTATGAGCTGCTATGCAGGGCACTTCCAGATGTGTTACACTCTACTCTCTTTACTGGTGCTCAGCCTCCAGTTTAAATAAACTGTCTTTTCAGAGTCTGGCAAAGTATGGTATTTCTGCTCTTATGCATACCAGCTTAGGTTTTCTGTTACTAAATTGGTTTGCTGAAACGGGCAAGTACCTGCACAAATGTAGTAGATAGGTGGAAGGAGAGTTAGGCCCTAGGACCCTTTGTTAGTGTAAAATTTGCAACATAGATATGAATAATATTTCTAGTCATTTAAGGCTAAATCT